TTTTCATATACGTCATATAATCCAAGAACATGAGGATGTTCAATCAATTTCATGATTGCGATTTCTCGTTCAACTTTTTGAAGAACGTTGTCGCTTAGCTTCTCCCGATTGACAATTTTCACGGCAACCTTACGTCCGCTAATACAATGAACCCCTAATTTAACTAGACCTGTAGAGAATATACTTAAGAGTTAACCGAACATTACCTGTTTGACCTTTTCCAAGGGTCTTTTCAAGTCGATATGGACCTACATATTGGTCTTCCCTGACCTGACCTCGGCGAGACATAGTTATTTAGTTTATTGTATATATTTTAAATATATTTAATCCGCAGAATCCTTTTCTTAGTTAAAAGAGTAAATAATCCAATGACGGAAACATCGGCACAGGCATTATGAAAAGCGCACAGATTATGCTTTGAGGTCATATGATGTGTGTTAATTTAGTCAAACTAATTATTATTAAATGTTTTAATATTCCAGATTACTTATATACCATAATATCCAAAATATAAAATTATTTATATTTATGAAAATATATCAATTAATAAAGACTATAAATAATCTTGAACTTTACAAATAAATGTTGACGTTTTTAAGACTTAACATGAACTAATCAAATGTTAAATAAAATTCGTATCAATTTAAGTTGCGACGTAGTATATTACGTCTTCAGTATTTCATTATTTAATCTTTGGAGATAGCTGTCAGTTATTTCACTTTTACGTGCTACACATGCACTTAAAAACCAGTATATCAATTGTGTAAGACCGATGGGAATAATGAAATTCTGTTATCGTTTAATGAAAAAGCTAACGTAGAAGTACTTATTGATAACTTATCCAGAGATGATACTTGTAGAATGCCAAGATTTTTAATTTTTCATCATATTAAACTTATTTCCCTCTAATAAATTGGAATCTAATTTCCTCCGAGCTGCCAAAGTTTCCGATCAATCGATTTGTCTTTTTAGAAATCATGTAATTTAGTAAAATGTGTTTGAGAAAAAAGTAAATCTAAAATACCTTCATTTCTTCGGTCATAAGCAATTTTGTATATCTCGATTATGTGGAGGGTTACTATAGTGTCAATTTCTTACAATAGTGGCGATTCTTCTGATGGCATTCTTTTGCATATCAAATTTTCAAGGCATTTCGCAAACAACAAATGAACGAGATAATGCGGATTGTGCTTTCATTAAATATTGACGAATATGGGGTGTGCGATTGACTTACTCCGCCACGTGGTGCACCCTGGGCAACGTATATTCATACGGCAAATAATCTATCACGTGGTGCACCCTGGGCAACGTATACTCATACGGCAAACAAACTGGTGCACCCTGGGCAACGTATACACGGCAAAAGAGTCCGTGGTGCACCCTGGGCAACGTACACTCACACCTTACCTCCACGTGGTGCACCCTGGGCAACGTATTCTCATTCGGCTACCTCCACGTGGTGCACCCTGGGCAATGTATACTCATACACCTCCACGTGGTGCACCCTGGGCAACGTATACTCACGATAGACTTACCTCCAGGTGGTGCACCCTGGACAACGTATACTCAAACGGCACGTGGTGCACCCTGGGCAACGTATACTCATACGGCTCCACGTGGTGCACCCTGGGCAACGTTTACTCATACGGCTCCACGTGGTGCACCCTGGGCAACGTATACTCATAAGGCACCACGTGGTGCACCCTGGGCAACGTGTACTCATACGGCAAGTAAGTCTATCACGTGGTGCACCCTGGGCAACGTATATTCATACGGCAAATAATCTATTAACTGGTAGTTGACTTCTCACTTCAAACTACCATCACCTCACTCTGCTATATTTCACAGTACTCACCGCACCTTTTTCTACCTTTCTGCTTGTCTATTACATTTTTAAAACACTCTTTTTTCCCCTTTCCCCCCTCTCGGCTATTTTCACTTTGATGTGAAGCCTGAAGTCAACTAAAGGGCTAGTGATAACCATCAAGACGCCTGCCATTTGATGTAAATAAATAATATCGACGAACATACCTTAAAGAGGCCAAGTTATAAGCCAAAATCAGCTTAATCTTCGCATTACTGGAGATAGCAATTTCGCTTCCGCTTCCAATCTTACCCAGATTAATTGACAATACCCTCTTCCTGGCACTCATTTATTGGTCAGTTACTCTTGTTAAACCTCCAGCACCTCGATTTGGCCATCAATTGCTTCCCTCTACCACCTATTACTACTCCATTTTGCTTCAATAGTGGTGAAAGCTGCTACTTATTCAACCCCATTCCGTCGTTTCTTCGAATCCCTTATTACAATTCCACCGGTTTTCAAGCAGGAGATGTGAAATGATCGAAATGAACACCTCATTTACTCTCATCTAAATAAGTGACTCACAAAATTGCACAATAGTGGTGACAATGATGAGAAATAGTAGCAATATAACCATAGGATGCAGACAACTAAATGCCCTGCTATTTGCTCAAAAGAGAAAAGAAATGACGCAAGAACACTCAGAACGAGAAACAATGTCGAGGGGGATGACTCATGTGAAAGACGGTTTGCAAAGGAGAGGGGGGAGGGGGGCTGGAGGCGGACAGATGGGTAGATGGATTTAAAACGCAATTCGGCCAGCACCGGGGAGGGCTGAGGGATCGTTGACTCATCGCACTGACTCTGGGGCTGAAGTGGATGACGGTTGTGGATTAGATGTATGTGCTGGAGTGGCAGATGACTGTTGAGATTGTAAAAGCCCCGACTGACTTCCCATTTTTGTTAAAGAGGAAGAATCACAAGCCTGATAGAACAGGATGTAGGCTGAATCCGACGTTTTAGAGGCCTCCGAAGTGGTTCCAAAGAAATCTCGTATATTTGCAGGATCTATTTTCTGTAATTTAAACAAAGAGAAGAAAATAAAAGTATTTGAATAAAGCCGAAGTTGACGCCGCTCACCACAGTAATGGTGGATTATTTTACCAACAAGTACAACAAACACAAGTCATAAAAAAAGGAAATTCAAGGCATTTTTGACGATCTACTTCCCTACTTACTGTCCCACCTCAGGTGGTCCAGATGAGCATAGAAACCCACAGGGCTATCGATAATCACGTGGAGACATGAACAATTGGACGACGGACAGTTCACAATGGAGTGCCTATAAAAAATCTTAATATTTCGATTAATAAATCGGAAGATTTCCCTAGTCACCCCCAAACTGTTTAAGGGATATTAGTGACTTGGCTTGTTCATGCCATGTGGCCTCATTGATGGATTCAAACATAAACGTTGTTTGGCTTTTGCCGCAATAGTTCGAGAAAATGTACGTGAGGGGGGGGGATTTTATAAGCTTTTAAGTGTTTTAACTTTACCAACAGGCAATGATTGAAAGAGATACCTATATTGATTCATGGGGGTGTGCGATAGACTTACCTCCACGTGGCAGTTGACTTCTCACTTCAAACTACCACGATCCCCCTGGTTGTCATATTCGACCCCTTTCACAGTACTCACCTTACCTTTTTTCTCTACCTTTGTGTCTGTTTGTTCCACTTACATCTTTGAATCACTCTTCTGTTCCCCATCTCCACTTTTTGTGACATTGATGTTCCTCCCTTCTGTGTAGCCCGAAGTCAACTAAAGGGCCAATGACGACAATTAAAAAGCCTGCCATTGGATATAAATAAATAAATATTGACTCATTAGGGGAAAGAGGCAATAATGAGGACTTTAAGAATTCTCAAATTATTAGCTGGGCAAGTTTTTCTGTTAATCTTATTGAAATGCCTTCCATTACTAAAACTAAGAAATGATCAGAGAAATCACTCAATGACGAAGCGGTGTTTTAAGAATCTTGCCTCCTTCCACTCAGGTGAGCTGCAACGTTAGGAAAACGGGTGATAACTGAGTTCTAAAATCCATTTCTCTCAAAAAAATCGCACATATACAACCTCTCCTCTATGCTTCGTAACTGA